TGCCCCACCACCAGCCACCCCCACCACAGGGTGTCCCTTTCTGGCTGTTTCACATCTTCACTCTGCTATGCTACTGACAACCCTGCTTCTCGCTGGCTATCACAACTTCTGTGCATCCTCTCTCGGGCATCCTCTTCTTCAGGCCCCCAACTCCCTGTCTCGCCATCTTTCCTCCACAGTAGAAAGCCGAAACTCAGTACTGACCTTTCCCCTTCATTATGACACAATAACCTTTCCACAGCATTAGGCATTTTCCCTCTCTGTCTCAGGTCCTATGCTCCAGATTGAGCTCTGGCCTCACCTTTACAAGTTAAGTGACCTGGGAAAATGGCCACATGCTTTGTAGCAGGAAGCCTATCCTCTGGGAGATACACACATGTAAATGTGTATATTTATATGTGTATATTAATTGCCTCACAGTAGTCAATTGTTTGAGTCTATCAATTTGTCTAACTTGTCCCTTATTAGGGAACTCGAGGCTCGGTGCATGAATTTGTGCATGGGTGGGGTCTGGCCGGCCCATCCTGATTGTGGCCGATTGGGGCCAGCCAGCCGGGGGCAGGGGATGAGGGAGGTTGGCTGCCGGCCCTGGCCCCGATTGGAGTAGGGGGACCGATCTGGGGCTGGGTAGCCAGGGGGAGGGGCCGCGGGATGTTGGCCGGCTGCCCCGCCCCCATCAGGCCTATTGGCCGTCCACAGTGTGTGTCATAGCAACCACTTGTTCCAGTCATTCTGGTCGTTCTCGTTGCTTGGCTTTTATATATATAGTCTAGTGGCCTGGTGCATGAAATTCATGCACAGGAGGGAGGGGGGTCCCTCAGCCCGGCCTTCCCCCTCTCGCAATCCAGGACCCTTTATAAATTTTGGAAATTAAGTCCTTATCAAATGTACTGGTATACATGTTTTCCTGTTCAGTGGGGTTTTTTCATTTTGTTGATGGTTTCCTTCCTGTGCAAAAATTTTTTAGTTTAATGTAGTCCTCCTACCTTTTGTGACAGTATAGGTTGACCTGGAGTACATTATGCTAAGTGAAATAAGTCAGTTAGAAAAAGACAAATACCACATGATTTTACTTATATGTGGACTCTAGTGAACAAAATAAACTGATGAAAGAAATAAAATCAGAGGCAGGGATGGGTACATGGAACAGACTGAAATATCAGAGGAGGGTGTTGGAGGAAGATGGGTGAAAAAGGTGAAGGGATTAAGAAAAACCCCTCATAGATATAAAACAGCATGGTGATTACTAAAGAGAAAGGGGCATAGGGGATTTAGAAGAGAGTAAAGGGGAATAAATAGTGATGGAACCAGACTTGACTCGGTGTGGTGAACACACAATACAATATACAGATGATGTACTATAGGTTATACTTGAAACCTATATAATTTTATTAACCAATGTCACCCCAGTACATTCAATAAAAAAGATGGAATGCATTGGTTCACACAAATCTGTCCCTGTCTCTGAAATGTAGCTGCTCCAAGGAAGCACAATATACTTTTGAGCACCTTGAAATTTGTCAATTATGATATAACTTTAAAGAAACCAGCTATCAAAATAAACATGATTCAAATGTTCAGAAACCAATGTACATTTAAATAGATTTTGTTTTAAAATGGGGAAAGAAGTAAACATTAATTCAGGTTTAATACATAATTTTGAAAAAAGTATGTGATTTTATTTATAGGATATCAGTTTGTTTTCCCTGCCACTAAATAAGTGTTGAACAAGCATTTTAAAAATCGTTAGTCTGTGCAGGTTATAAAACGTGTGACAGGTTGTCCCTAATGGCATGTGAGCTCCTTTATCCCCGATTGTATCTATACATCATTGGTATTAGTCAATAAGTTTTCTTAAATGCATGGATAAGTGAATTATTGAAATGAAATGGATCTATAGAACTTTAATATGTAGAGTTCCTCTCTCTAATTTGATTGGTTTTCTTTCCTGCCTGTGTTTGTCTTGAATGATTGAGTGTGCATATCATTTGAACAAATGATCTTAATTCCTGTTATACATTGTTATTTATCTCAAAAATTCATATGTTGAAGCCCTATCCTATCATTCCACAAAATGTGACATTATTTGGAAATAGGGCCATTTTAGATTTTAGTTAATATGAAGGTGCATTAAAATATGGAGGGCCCCAATCTAGTACAACCGGTGTCCTTATAAAAAGAGGAAACTTGGACATAGCCATGTACACAGTGAGAGTGCAATGGGAAGACAAGGCAGAGATCAGGATGATGTCAGAAGCCATTTTTATTTTTCATCCTATATAATAAAAGCCTAATTTGCAAATCGACCAAACAGCAGAACAACTGGTGGAATGACCGTCACTATGATGCACACTGACCACCAGGGGGCACATGCTCAATGCAGGAGCTGCCCCAAGCCTGCAGGCCCCAGGCCAGCCAAGTCAGGTGCCAGCGGGGGCCCCAATTGCCCTGCAGATCGGCCCTGATTGCCGGCTAGGGTAGGCCCAGGAACCCTACCTGTGCATGAATTTTATGCACCACACCTCTAGTATATATGTAAGAATTTAAGAGTGGTTTAAGAATCTCCTAGAGCACAGCTCTGCTCATATTATTCCCAAGATCACCAACATTTCATAGCTTACCATTGACTATTATGTAAACGCAAAGACTTCAACTTAAATATTGTGGTCCCAGACTTTCCATTCTAGCCCTATCTTCTCTATTCTTCATCCCTCCCATTATTCTGTTTGTCTACTATATCATCTAATGAAATTACACTTGTCAATTCCCAAACCATGCCTTGTTTTGCTTTGTAAAGATTTTGTTTGTGTTGTTTCCTTCATCTAGGAATAGCTCATACCTATCCTATATAATAAAGAGCTAATATGCTAATGGTCATGACACTCTCATGCCATAATGACTTCAGCAGGAGGCTGCGTGCGCAGTGGGGCGGAGCCACCACATTGCTCCAGAGATGGGGCGGAAGCAGGGAGGTGCCCAGAGGAGGCAGGACCATCCCGTGGCAGGAAGGGCGGGGGTGAGAGCCCATAGTGTCCCCCTCACCAGTCCTTCGCCACCCACTGCTCGCACTCAGCATGCCCACTGCCCACCTGCCAGGGGAAGGAGCACAGCACATGCGCCTCCAGGAAGCAGCACTCGAAACTCCGCACCAGGCAGGAGGCTTCCACACTCTCCTCCAGTGCCATGATGGGGAGAAGCCGTCGCATTGCTCCGGAGTCGGGTGGAAGTGGGGAGGTGCCTGAAGGAGGCGGAACCAGCCCGAGGCGACTTGCAGGAACTAGGGTGGGGGTGGGACCAGGCACACTAGAGCTCTGGGTGGAGAGGTTAGGGCAGCCGTGGGCAAACTACGGCCCGTGGGCCAGATCCGGCCCGTTTTAAATGAAAAAAACTAAAAAAAAAAAAAAAGACCGTACCCGAGGGTCTCATTAGTTTTCGTGAGGCTCTCCAGAAGTTTATTGCAAGCCCTCAAAATTGCGTTTTTTAGCTCTATATCCTCCATTTCTGTCATGTTTTTTTGTCTCCGCATTTTTTATGCTTTCTTGGTGCACCCCCTAGTGGTCTTTGTGCGCAGTCTTGTTCTAGTTAAGCCTTGATTGTTGTAGTTAAAACTAGAGGGATTTGACCACCAGGCCGACTCGCTGTTTTAGATTTTAGTTAATATGAAGGTGCATTAAAATGGGGAGGGCCCCAATCTAGTTCAACTGGTGTCCTTATAAAAAGAGGAAACTTGGACATAGCCATGTACACAGTGAGAGTGCAATGGGAAGACAAGGCAGAGATCAGGATGATGTCAGAAGCCATTTTTATTTTTCATCCTATATAATAAAAGCCTATTTTGCAAATCGACCAAACAGCGGAACAACTGGTGGAATGACCGTCACTATGATGCACACTGACCACCAGGGGGCACATGCTCAATGCAGGAGC